CGTGTTGTGCGGTGCTGTTCTCGCAGCGGGGAAGCTGGAGCGATGGCGGAAGAGCGTGGGAGTTTGCGGAACTGGTTGGCGGCTATTCGGTTGACGGTGTCAGGGGGAAGGTGGGGCAGGCGGAAGTTCTGCTCCGCACAAGGAAAAATAATAGACTGGGGGGGGGAAGGAGGGAGGGGGGGGAGGGGGGGGGGGTGGGGGGTGGGGGGTGGGGGTGTGTAGGGAGGAGGAAGCGGCGGCAGGGATGCTCACCCGCCCCCCACGTAAAACCACAGCCTTGCCTGCTGTACAGAACAGCAGCATGGCTCAGCCGCGCCGCTAACCGCCGAACCGCCCTCGCAAGCATGTCCCTTTGCCAGGGAGGTCCGTGCCAGGGCTTATTTTTTACGGGTAGTTGCCCGCATTTTTACAAAATAACGGGGGATGGTTTTACCGAGTGACGTGTTCGATTTTCATGAACCCGGAATCTGATGGGTACATTCTGACCAGAACACGTGAAGTGACGTGTTCCGTTTTGAGAAACACGGGGACTATAAGTTCTCACACTACCCCACAGATCCCCCCGTCATTTCCTCTCCCCAGGGCACATAAGCCCTTTCAAGGAGAATCTACAAGTGGAAGTATTAGAGCTGAGCGAAGTACTCTTACATGGTTCCCTTTGTAGAATCCAGGAACTTTTCGTAAGAGCGTTTGTCATCACGGGAAAAAAATCCCGGGACTGAATCCGGACGTTGACGGGAAACGTTTCAGATAAACCCATTTAATCCTGGACCCGCGAGAGAGACATCGGCATCTGCCGTGTGGACGTTTACCCTAAGGTAAGCCCTGGTCCGTCCCTTCCGCCCACCCGCCAACCAACGAACACAAGACAACGTACATTGTTATACGCGTTAGTGGCTAAGTGGTGGGTTCATTTCTGACCTTTTGTGAGTCTGAGCCAAACTGGTCGGCCCATGTTCGTGGTGGTGATGGCCAATCGATTTCCATATCAGGCGAACTCGGACGGGAAGAACATGGCCCCCAAACCTCTGCAGTTCCGCTCCGGTTCCGCAGGGCACCGCGCGACGTGTCCAAATCTCGCTTGCGGGGCGGTGGTGGTTCACGGCGCGCTTTGCGTTTGGCGGCACCGTCACGTCCACCGCTTGAGACATATGAAACCGAGCAGGTCGTGCTCTGGAACAAAAAACAGGCCGAAGAAAGTTGGTACACCTACTGCCATCCTCCCTCCTTTAAACAAAAGCAACACTCAAGCTCAAACTGAACAGGTATTTAGATTGATTATTCCTCCTAATGGGGTTCAATAATTTCTTACAACGCAGTCTTTCGCACCAAGTGCTGTATGTGCCCATCTAGTACATTACTGAATATACAGCAACAGGACTGAGGGGGGGGGGGGGGGAGGGGGAGAGAGAGAGAGAGAGAGAGAGAGAGAGAGAGAGAGAGAGAGAGAGAGAGAGAGAGAGAGAGAGAGAGAGAGAGAGAGAGAGAGAGAGAGAGAGAGAGAGAGATATCACTGCAAGGGAGAGCTCACATGAACGCATCGAGAGTAACAAGTGGCTACATTAAAAGTCCAGTCCACCTCGTGCATGCTACAAATCACCACTCATGATAGTACGAGGCAGCAGTTGTAGAGGTGGTTGTAGTCTCAAAAGGTCGCCCTGGGGGACTCTGGAGAATTGAAACTTCCACTGAGGTGGGAGACTCCCTGGCAGCACCACCTCTAGGAGCAGTCGTGGGACCCGAAGCAGCAGCAATGCCCATACCACCAGTAGCAGCAGCAGAAGCAGGAGCGGAAGACACGGGGATTTGTGCTTCAGCTCTTCTCGGCAGACCAGGGACAGCTGAGGAGTGGGTGTGGTGCATCGGGAACAGCCCTGTAGTCTCCTCCTCTGCCTCCTCCTCATCAATATCGCTCAACACATCTGCTGTCTCGTCCCGGAATCTCCCAGTGAACCCCGCCCGCTGCTGCTGCTGCTGCTGCTGCTGCTGCTGCTGCTTGTGCTCCACCCGATCCCCATCCTCACTCCCCTCGTAGTGATACCCATCGTGGAACCTTGGCCGGCTGTCTGACTTCTCCCCTCCCATCTCGATGAATTTGGCCCGCTCGCCCTCCAGACGGACGCGCTCCGCCTCTGCCTCGGGCTCTGCTGCGAGGAAGACGCTGCAGGCGGCAATAATGATGACTATGCCCATGCCTGCCACTATCACTGACATCCACACAAACACGCCCACTTCCCCGTCTGTTTCCTTGGTGGTGGGAGCTGGAGGCAGAGCAGGGAACGCACAAGGAGGGTTGAAGGGGAGAGACGGGGATTGGGAAAAGGGGAGAGCAGCAGATGAGTGGACCAGTGTGAATGTATCTGTTGAGTCGACTCAAAACGTGCTGTGTGACTTTTGGGTCCGACTCAAAAGTTACCGCATTACAATGGGAATTACATCTTACAATGGGAACAGGGAATGGGAGCAGGAGATGAGAGGAACAGTGTGAGTGTGTCTGGACGAAACAATTTGTATACCTCCCTCCTTGCATCTTAACCTAGTACTCCGCTCCCTCCTTTTCACGCATTATGCACACAGCACAATATCTCTCCCCTCTATCCACATCTCTTGTAGACATTGCACCAGCCCCCACGCTCCCCCCCTCCCCGCCCCCCCACCTCCCCCCTTTCCTCCTCCACATACAAACACGTACATAGGCACGCACACAAATATATATCTTCCTCCCCCCTCTCTCACACACATTCAAACACCAACCTTCTGCTGTGGCATGTGTGGTCCCTGTGTGGTTACACGCGTAACACGCCAGGTTGGCATGGAAGCTTGCCGGCTGCAGGAACGTAAAGAGCCCTCTGCTGTCCCTGTCACTGAAGTTGCCCGAGCACACCGCCCACGTGCCAAAGCACCCGTCCTTGTACCACAGGGCTAGCCGCTCGTACAGCGCACACGTGCGGCACTGCCCGTGCTCTAGCTGTGTCACAGGCTGGTGGGGAGAGGGAGGGGAGGGGGGGAGGTGGAAATGGTGTTGGACACAGACCGAGCACCTGTCCCGATACCACAAAGCCAGCTGCTCTCTCTTACAGTGCGCAGGTGCGGCACTGCACAGGTGTAGCAGTGTTACCAGCTGGGGGGAAAGAGTGGAGAGAGCAGGAGAGGGAGATGGTAGATGTGCGAGGGGAGGTAAGTGCGAGGTGGAGGGGGTGGGTAGTGAAGTGCTGCTGAGGGGGGGGAGGGAAGGAGAGGGGACGGAGAAGAGGAATGAGGAGGAAGTAGAGGTCATCGCACTACACGGCTGTTCCTCGTGCAGTGTAAGGGGGGGTGAGCTACAGAGCCCGTGTGCGTATATGGGCAATACGGGGGGCGGGGAAATGGTAGCGGGGTGGCAGACGTGGGAATGAGGGTCAGAGTGGGGTGGATGTGCCCGCCGAAAAGAATAGTAACCTGGTAACCAGTTAAACACAATCCAGAATGATCCACTCAGACTACTCAGGAGCCATACACGAATCTCAGGAGCCTTCTTCTTTTCTCTAATTTTTTCATTCTCCTCATCTCCCCTCGTCCTCCACCCTACTCACACCCTTTCGCTGTCCTTCTCCTCACATCCAGCCCTACCACCAACGTACACGAGAGATCCCCTGCTCAGCTCCCATCTCGGACGTCCGTTCTGTCACCTCACATCGTGGGCGTACATGTGGAATTCAGTATACCCGGTCCAAACTGGAGATACCCTGGGCATTCTTTCATTCCCCGTCAGTTGCGTCCGTACAGAGCCACCCATGCGTCGCACACATACATTCCCCATGCACCCACACCGATGCACCCACCGATGCACCCATACTTTCCACACACATACATCAACTCATGCACCCACCCGTGCACCCAACTATGCAGCCAACCCTAAACCAGTCATGCACGTGGCCACCCGCCCACCCGCCCACCCACCTGCCATGACTCGTTGCCTTGGAACGTGAACCACGTGAGCGTCGAGTTGACGGCCGGTAGGTACGTGCGATTCGCAGAGTCACATTCGATATAAATAGACGGCGTGCCGTGCCAGGAGAACCTCTTAAACAACGTGACACTCTCGAGCGACACGTTGTACGCTGCGCATTCTGCGCGAAAAAGAGAGGAGGGAGAGCAAAAGAAGAAGTGCAGAAAGATTTTACTAGTGCGTCGTCTTGTGCATCGGGCATGCGCCGAAGCTAGCAACGCTGATAGCCGTCTCGTGAAGAGAGACGAGACGAGACGAATAACGAACGGGACGAGGACTCACGGCTCAAGCAACCGCGTTGGAAACTGTACCTTGCACGCAAATGATGCGGCATGGATGCGGCGTGGATGAGGCTTAGATGAGGAGCTTCGAACAAGCCAGTCGGAAAGCTGTCGGATTTCGGGCACGAGCTGTCAGAGTGCAAGTGCACGCGAGCTCGACACGGTACCTTGAGATTGGTGGATGGCCGACAGCAGCACGGCAGCCGCAAAGAGAAGGAGTCGAGCGAAGGGTCTGCCGCTGATCCAGCCCTGCGACGACCTCCCACCTGCGACAAGGAAATGTCGCATCATCCCTGTGGATAGAGATGCCGGGCGACGAGAAGACCCAACTATGCGATACCTTAAAAACAGAGGGCTTTGAAAGAAGAAGAATCGCGATGCGATTACTACTCGCTATTAGCTAGCCCCGTCGCAAGTAGCTGTTACGAGGTACAACGTAGAAGAAGCGTAGATCGAACTCTCGAGGGCGTGGTTGTTAGAAAAACTGTACAGCAGCAAAGGGGACACAAGAAAACATTAACGGGAATCTCTGTTCTCTTAACGTTGTTGTTTCGACGCCATCCTTTTCGAGGATTAGTCTCTTGCTAAGGGCGAGACTTCTAAAAGTGTCCCAGTAGCGCGAACAGCGTCCAGCCGAATCCGGAAAAGTAGGCTGTGAGCGCTAATGTGCATGTCTGACAAATTATCATATGCTAGGAGGGTCGACGAACGGGGGAAGCGGAGTGAATCCAAGTGAGAGCGTGTTCAAAGTAGCTGACGTCGGCTGAATCCCGAAACGGGATTACAGACCAAAATCCACCATGCGCTGATGAACCCAAACATTCTGACACGGGCATTTTGGACTGAAAACAGCCCTGCGTAACCTGGGATCACTCCTGGAAACCAGCAACCACTCATGCTGGAAACTAGTGGTCCAGGATGATGGAGGGGTTGACGGGAGGATTCAGCGAACTTGGATGGGGTAGGATGCCGTGATGGCAAATTGATGCGCGGCTTGTTCCTTGGTGTGAGGGGAGGGCGATCCTTGTTCATTGCTATGATATAAGAAGTGTCAATGTACTATAACGTGAGAATACAAGGTCGCTATTGCAATGAAGGCACGAGGTTATATAGGGGTTGGCGTACTAGGGCGATAACCTCGGATCGTGGGTAGGTTCGGCAATGTGGCGACAGTGCCGGACGCGACTCGGGAAAAGGTTGGGCCGATAAATGAGGCTGAACGTGACGAGTCGAGGAGTTCGGGTGTACGCGCTAGCGTACGACTCAATAAGGAATGGAAATTCCTTACACTACCACCCCCCCCCCCCTAAATGAGACCGCGGGCATCGGAAACATTCCGACGCTGATAATACGCTGTTAGAATCGGGCGTGATTCTAGCTCAGCGAGCGGCACCCAGCTGTCGTCTTCGGACGTGCGATCGCGCCAGCGAACGAGAAAATCAACCATCCGACAATTCAGCTGCGTCGTGACTCGGTGGCCGAGAATTCTCAAAGGCTCGGTTGTCGGTTCTTGCAGAGGTGTCAGCTGCGGCGGTTCCGTGCCAATTCGGACGAACTGGGGACGTAGGGCCGTAAAAGACTGACGTGGAAAGGCGGGTGGTGACGCCAATCAGCCGGGAGTCGTAGGTGAGCAGTGACAGGTGTCACCATGTTGGTCACTTGGAAAGGTCCGCATAATCGGGGTCAGAGTTACTCGTGATCGGCAGCCGCAAATTGCGAGTGTCGAGGAGAACAAGATCTCCCATTTTGTAAGTGACATCACGTCGATGACGATCGGCTTGTCGGCTTGCGACCAGGTTGGCTTTCCTGATTGGCCCCTGCTGCTTTTTCTCGGGCGGCGAGAATGTCTTCAGCAAATTTCTAAGACCGCGGCACGGGCGTCTCAATGTTCGGGGTCGAGGGTACCACTGGGTCCTGTCCGTAGTTGAGGAAAAACGGGAACTGATAGGTTGTGGTGGAGGGCGCGTTATTATACGCAAACTCCAATAGCGGAAGGGATTTCTCCCATGTCTGTTGGTCGGTACAGGTAGTTCGAATGAGTTGCTCCATACTTTGGTTGACTCGTTCGGTCTGCCCGTCGGTCTGTGGGTGGTAGGCGGAGGAAAACTGCAGTTTGGTGCCGAACTGGTCCCACAGGTGGCGCCAGAAATTCGATGTGAATTTCGGGTCTCGGTCTGAAATAATTGCGGTAAGCAGTCCGTGCAGTCGAATGACGTTGGCGATGAACAGTTGGGCAGTTTGCTTGGCGGTAATGGTCTGTTGGCAGGCGATGAAGTGCGTCATTTTCGTGAGTCGATCCACGACCACGAGAATGGCGTCGTTTCCGCTGGGACCGACCGGCAGTCCTGTCACGTAGTCTATTGTGATGTGTTGCTAGGGTCGCTCGGGCGGATCCAACGGCTGCAGTAGTCCGGCTGCTCGCTGATGGGAGGATTTCATGATCTGGCATGTGGTGCAGGAGGACACGTACTTGCGCACGTCGTCAGCCATGTTTGGCCAACAATAGTTGCGCTGCAACATCTTAATAGTTTTGTCGACGCCGAAGTGCCCGGAGGCAGGGTTGTCGTGGGATTCCTGTATTAGCAGGATACGAAGTAAATCGTAGCCGGGTACCCAGATGCAGAAAGTATCGCGCTTATTAAAATAATGTCCGGTGGCGGTGGTATGCTGTTGATGAATCGCAGAGCGGAAGAACGGGTCGATTTTGTAGCCGTGGGTAAATAGTCCAGTAAGCAGTGGGCTGGTCTGGGCGACTAGCATTGTGGCGGTATGGGCAGTGGGTTGGGTCTGGGCATCGGCAATATTGTTGGCGCCCCGTTTGTAGGGGATGGTGTAGTGGAAATTCGACTCGAGGAAATCGAGCCATCGGATCTGTCGCGGGTTGAGATTCGGTTGGGCGCGCAGGTACTGTAAGGATTTGTGGTCAGTTCGCACCGTGACGTCAGCACCTGTCAGGTAACACCGCCAGGTCTTGAACGCGTGGACGATCGCCAGCATCTCCTTGTCGTATACTGTATAGTTTTTCTCCGCGCCTTGCAGCTTCCATGATTCGTAGGCGACTGGCTGTAACCCGTCGCCGAAATCATATAGGAGAACTGCACCGATAGCGATGTCGCTGGCGTCGGTGATGACTTCGTATGGATGGTCAGGATCGGAGATGGGAAGGATGGGCGGCGACGTGAGAGTGATTTTCAGGTGGTCGAATGCAACTTGCTGCTTTTCTCCCCACCAAAAACAATCGTGATCTTTCAGTCGGCCGGTTAGCGGGGCAGATAACCCAGCCATGTTGGGTATAAAGCGGCGGACGTAGTTGACGAAACCCAAAAAACTCTGCAGCTCCTTGATGTTGGTTGGCGGCTTCCACTCCTGGATGGTCTTGATTTTCTTGGGGTCGATTTTCACTCCTTCGGTAGAAACAACGTGGCCCAAAAACTCAAACTCCTGCTTAAGGAAGTCACACTTGGACCCTTTCGTGATGAGGCGATTCTTGTGCAGCAGCGTGAAGACTGCATCAAGATCGCGTAAGTGCTGCTCCCGGCTGCGGCTGTAGATTAGTATGTTGTCGAGGTAGATAATGACACATCTATCCAAGAGTTCCCTGAAAATGTCGTTCATGGTCATCTGGAATGTCGAAGGCGTGTTCGTGAGGCCAAAGGGCATCACCAGGTATTCGTAGCTTTCGTAGCGGGTTCGAAAAGTGGTTCTGTGACAATCTTCGACGGCGACGCGAATTTGATGGTAACCTCATCGCAAGTCGATTTTCGAGAAGAACTTGGCTCCGCGAAGTTGGTCGAGTAGGTCGTCAGCTCGCGGGATCGGGTAACGCGACTTGATTATGATCTTCTTAAGTGCGCATTAGTCGATGCACATGTGGAATCCTCCATCCTTCTTCGGGGTGAACATTATCGGGGCGGCGTATGGGGACGTGTCGGGCCGGATGAATCCTTTCGTCAGGAGGTAATCCACCTGCTGTTGCAATTCTTCCAGTTCTTGTTGGCTGAGCCGAAATTGTCGCTGCACTGTCGGTTGGGCGCCTGGTTCCAGCTCGATGCGATGGTGTTCTGGTCGGCTCGGCGGCAGTCCAGCGGGCAGGTCGTCCGGGAAAATCTCGGGGTACTTTCGAATCAGGTCCGCTAAATCCGGAGGAACGAATTCGCACAGCTTCGCGATATCTTCGGCTGTTATCGGCGATGTTACATCGCGAGGATCGACGGCGTACGCTGCAGCTCCTGCTTTTTATCGCGCGCTTAAAAGTTATCGCATGAACTTGGGTGCTTCGCATGCGAGGTCCCGTCCATTTCGGCAGCTCGCGGAGGATCCCATCAAGTTTTATGCTGCAGCCGTCCGTCGTCCAGTCGATCTTCGGGTTGTATCGTCGCAGCCAATCTTGTCCCAGCAGCACGTCGCATCCGTCGAGTGTAGTCCCCAGCAGCCCCATCCGAAATTTTACGTGCTCCCCGAAGTGAAAACTGACGTTCTCCACCCGCTCCCGTATAGCCAGCGGTGTTCCGTCCACTAGTCGAGCGTCAATTTCGGGTAGACACTTGAGTAAGGGAATACCCAATTTTTTAGCACTGTCCAGCTGTATGAGACTGTGACTCGCGCCTCCATCCACGAATATTTTCAGCAACACCCCGTTGACTTTACCCTCCACCAACACAGGGTGATCAGCAGTTTCGTCCCCCTTATTCGTCCGGGTCCGGTCGATTGCAGCAATCGGGATCACGATCCGGTGGGGACTGTGTGGCTCGGGCGAAGAAGCCAGCCCGTCAGTAAGGGGCCCGGTACTTACTGACGCGACCCATTTCCCGGTCGCTCCTCCGTCTTCTTCCCCATAGAATTCTGAGTGGCTATGATTTTTGGGCAGTTACGTCGGATGTGACCCGGTCGGCTACAGTGGTACCATAGCCCCGTATTTCGCGGAGCAACTGCGTAGATATCCACTGCGTCCATCCCTTTTATCGTGGCGCGCTGGTACTGTTCTCGAGGGCGACCTCCGTCGTAGAAGTTCGTCCTCGGCTTCGTGAGCAAATCAGCGGCTTCGGCGAGCTGGATGAAGTCTTGTAACCGCTTCGCAGGGCGTTGCAGTTTTATCTGGTACTGTATTTCAGGCTTCAGCCCGCCCATGTACCTGTCGACATTCTCCAACTCGTGCATGAAGCCACATCTGTCAACCAATGTCAAGAATGACGCGGTGTATTCGGACACAGATCCCAGCTGCTTCTACATGCGTAGAGTCTCGCGCGCTTTGTCTGAGTCAAGAGCATGCTCAAACTGCATGCGAAGCTCTGCGCACCACGCTGCCCACGTGCGAATGTGGGTTGCACCAAACAGCAAATCTGTCTCGTCGTCGTCGCGGAATTCTTCGGACCACTCGTGCTGTCCTTCTGTGCGAGTTGCCGCTGAGTCGACGATGACATTCCACCACTGTAGGGCGGCCCCTTGCAACAGTGTTAACGCAAGGCTGATCCGCTTCTGATCGTCTCGGATGCCCGCCGCGTTGAAATAGATATTCATAACGAATATCCACTGCCGCACCGTCACGCCTTTATTGGCTGGGTCGAAAGGAGCGGGTTGCTGATATCTCACGCCGCCACTTGTCGAGCGCGGGGCTGTTGCCGCTAGTCGTGCCAGCTCCACTGGCGTCGGTTGCTGCTCACCCGCTTCACTCCGTGCATCGTCGCCCGTCTCCTCTTAACGCCTTTTCTGCGCCTGGCGAAGTCGTTGGTTCTCGTCGCGGAGGTTGTTCACGACGCTTGTCAAATTGTTCAACTGCTCCATTAATGCTTGCAGGTCCACAGTTTCCCGGGCAGATTTCGCAGCAGTCGAGGTTGTCTGTTCCTCAACCGTCGAGTCTACCGGGGCCATGGCAGTCAGGACGGGGCAGAAGCTAGCGCACACGCTGTAGTTGTTGACGTAAAAATATTTATGATCGAAGACAACTGCTGTGCAGCCGTGCTAATCCCCTCTGGCCACCCTTAACTAATTTAACGGGAAAACTGAAGGTTCCTGGAAATTTCGGGCTCTGATACCAACGGTTATGATATAAGAAGTGTCAATGTACTATAACGTGAGAATACAAGGTCGCTATTGCAATGAAGGCACGAGGTTATATAGGGGTTGGGTACTAGGGCGATAACTTCGGAACGTGGGTAGGTTTGGCAATGTGGCGACAGTGCCGGACGCGACACGGGAAAGGGTTGGGCCGATAAATGAGGCCGAACGTGACGAGTCGAGGAGTTCGGGTGTACGCGCTAGCGAACGACTCAGTAAGGAATGGAAATTCCGTACATTCATTCCTATCGAGTTACTAGCTAATATGTTACATAATTCCAATGGTAACCAGCATTACCTTGGTAGCCTCTTTCAGTTGGAATCATGTGGAATATTGAACCACAACTATGCCTATACTGAGTGTTTCGGTATGTGATGTCTCGAGCTAACAGTTTGTGTGGACTTGGATGGACAATCAACCAGCAATAGGCAAAATTCCTTACACTTTTGGCTTGATGGATGCGAGCTGATGGAAAGCAGTATAATTGGAAGGAATAATTGTTGATACACGCGCCTTGCAATAGACCTGCATCCCACCCTCACCTGGAAACCTGGCAGCAGATGAGTTGGGGACCCCCTTTCTTGCGACTTCAACCTTTGCCCCAGACTGATGGTGAGTGGCGAATCGATGGCGGACGTGGCAGAAGTTCTGTTCTCGGTCTCCTGCTCGATTGGACGACGCCGAGGAGGAAACACCATGGGGAATCCTGTGCCACGTCGGTTGCGTGAAGCTGTCACATTTCGTGCTGCAGTGCTCACACAAAAATAATTCGCAAACAGGATTCGTGAATGCCAAGCTCTTCGCAAGCCACGAATTGATCACGCGTTACCAGGCTGTTTCCCCAGACCTTCGCGGTACACCCTCTTCCTGCTGGGTATTGTCCCCAGACCTCCCCACGCGGCTCCGAACCGAACAGAGATTCCCAAACCTGCATTCACACACCTCTCATGCTAGTTCCCGAACCTCCTCCGTACCTCGCTTTTCCCCTTCAATTTCCCTTACCTGTTCCCCTCCACAACCTTGGTTTCTCACTAATGATCTGCCTCACTACCGTACCTGACTTCTTCTGGATCTCCCTCCTGCCCCACAGCCGTGCATTTATCTACTCACATCCGTTCTCAGAAAGGTAGTTCCCGCAATTGTCAGCCTGAATTCACCCCGCCTTTGACGACATCTGCCAAGCTCCAACCAGTCAACTTGAGTTTGCCTTGCAGCTTCGTTCAAACTATGGCGGCCCTCACAAGCGGTTCTAAGGTCCTTCCTGTCCTCGCGACGGGCAGCAACGGTGCTCAGCAGAATGGCAGCCGTGTTTCCCTGGGCTCCAGGATGCTCTCAGGAACCCGCGCCTCGGTTTCTTCTCAGAGCACGTTCTTCAGCGGCCGGGGTACTGTGACGTCTCTGTAATCTCTAGGCTTATATATGTTCATTTTACGCACCCTCCTCCACTCCCTTTATCTCGTCCTATTTCTCGCTCTGTTCCTCCCATACTGTCGAGCAACGGAAGGGTGTTTGTAACAAAATCTCCTCCTTCGTCCGAAGAACCTCCTAGCGGAGAGAATCAATTGTACATGCATGTGGTTGATGAGAAACAAGCGTGCGACGGACAACCCCGTGCTACATGTGGATTGCGTGCGAATTTGTGCAGATTCATGGCGGTTGCAGCAGGCCGTCGGTGCGACTGGCAGCAACGGAGGAGCCCTGGCGGCCGAGATGAATATCTTCGACAGGGTCGGCCGGATCGTCAAGGTACTTAGAAACACTGTTATTGATAGAGACTGGGTCGGCCGGATCTTCATTGTCACATGGCCTCTTTTGCTAAGAAAGCACTGCTATTGATACATGTCCACCAGTTTTAACCCCGAAGCTTGTGAATCGTCGAATCCTGGCAATGACCCAGTGATTTAATTCCCCTCGTTCCGCTTCGCCACCTCCGCCTCCTCCTCCCCCCCTCCCCCCGCCCCCCCCCCTCCGCCCGCGTCCTCGTTCGGCGCGTCCCTGGCAGTCGTACACGAACGCGGCGCTGAGCTCGTTGGAGGACCCGGAGAAGATGCTGGATCAGACGGTCGAGGACATGCAGAACGACCTCATCAAGCTGCGACAAGCCACCGCACAGGTGATTCACTCGTTCTGATCCCCTGATTGCCTAGTTCACTGATTATTTTGTGCAAGTAAATCTTCTTCTCTTGAGACCGTGAGACCGGTCGTGTCCTTGTCGTCCAGCTGGGGCCACTCTCGGGTTAAGGCGGTTGTGTCTTAAAGCTCCTAAGTCAACTTTAGACGCGTGCTGTGTCTGCGAACAAGTATGGAACGTCTTCTTGTACAAGCACATGCTTTTACTCACATGCGTCAATCTGGCGTCGAGCTGTGAATTCGTGTTGACTGGCTGTTCGCTCACCGAGCTCGCTTCGCGCTGATCCCTGCTAACTCGATCCTTTTCTGCGTGCGTTCTGCCCGGGTGCCCTTTGTCTTCGGCAGGTGCTGGCGAGCACCAAGATGTTGGAAAACAAATTCAAGGCCGCACAGCAGAGCTCCGACGACTGGTGCGTAGCGTACTGCTATACTGCTCTGTCACTGTTTGATCGCCACATGGCCGTCGCGGCAATACTGGACTTTTCCGTCAAGCCACGTCTTTCGGGTCTTTCGCGTGCATGCGATTGATCCCTTAGACTCGCGGGCGCGTCTGTGTAGTTTGCTTCCGCGCGTCGCAATCCTCGTTTGCGCTCATTCGCCTGTGCTCATCGCGTCACTTCCGTCGCGCGCTTATCGCATCCCCCCCCCTCTCTCCTCCCTCCCCCCCCGCCCCCCTCCCCCACCTTTGTCCATCCCCCCTTCTCTTCTTTCCTCTTTCCCCCCCTCCGCGCTACAGGTACGCGCGGGCGAAGCTGGCACTGGCGAAGGGCGAGGAGGAGCTGGCGAAGGAGGCCCTCAAGCGACGCAAGGAGTTCGAGGTGAGGCCATGAGCCCACGGGGGGGGTAAGGGGGCGCGAGGGGGCGACATGGGGGGGTGCGGTCACGGCAAACGAGGTTGGAGACGTGCAGGGAGGAAGGTGGGCATGGAGGAGGACGGGAGGGAGAGGGGGAGGGGCAGACGGCGGGGTCGCGTTTTTGTGGCGCTTGTGTGCTGGGGAGGGTGTCTGTGAGGCATTTGAGATTTGAAGCAGTGGGTAACACCTTTCTAGAGGGCTTCCTGAAACGTTCTGCAAAGTTGCAGGTGTTGTTTTTAGTTATGTCTTCTAATGCACTCGATTTGCGTACCGCTCATGATTTGCAGGAGAACGCGAGGAGTCTTGAGTCGCAGCTGGCGGCACAACAGACGACAGCAGACAAGCTTATTAGCAACACTCGGGTGAGTTTCCCTAGGTGGTTTGGGCGTGTTAGGTTGAGCCAAGTGTCTGTGAGGACTCTCAACTAGGAGCAGCATTGTCTGTTGAATATCGTCGGCTAGAAGTGCAGCAGTCCACGCCGTTTTCCAAGCGCCAAGCGTCAAACATCAAGCGAGTGCCAAGCATTAAGCTCCAAGCGCGAAGTGGCAAGTTTCCGTTGAAGTCACATGAAGTGCTTGCCGAGTTCTATGGCCGTGCTCTACTTGGCACCCAGCTGACCTCCGTCCTTCTACGCATGGTGCTTCTCGTTGCGTGTTTGTGTGTGTACTCGTGCATGTATGCACGTATGCGTGTGTGTGTGCGTACGCTTGTGTGTGTGTGTGTGTGTGTGTGTGTGTGTGTGTGTGTGTACGGAGCAGCTGCTGGAGAGCAAGATCTCTGAGGCGAAGGCGAAGAAGGATACGCTCAAGGCCCGCGCCCAGTCTGCCAAGTAAGCTGTCCTCCTCATCATGTCCTGGCGCTCCCGAAATGCGTTGGCGCTGCATCATAGGTCATCTGTTTTCATTTTTACTGGGAGCAACATCTCCAGCACCAGCACTGGCTCCATCACGATCCATCACCATCTGTATGACCAGAATTTGGTTGCAATCGTTGCCTCTTTGAACTGGAGCCATCGTGCACGCTCGTGCATGTGCAGCGTGGCGGCCATTCCTCCCTCCTCCTCGCGCCTCTCAACTATTCCTCCTTCCTTCTCCTCTCACCTCTCGCCTCACCTCCTCGTCCCCTCTCTCTCGCCGCCCGCAGGACCCAGCAGAAGGTGAATGAGCTGGTGGGCGGCATCAGCACCAGCAGCTCGCTGGCAGCCTTCGAGAAGATGGAGGAGAAAGGTGAGCGCGGGGGGGGTTGGGGACAGAGGAACGAGTTGAACGAGAGGAGAGGGGCGGGAGGAGAAATTAGGGCAGAGGAGCACATTACATTTGACGAGGCGGCTTACATTTGACGAGGCGGCTTACATTTGACGAGGCGGCTTACATTTGACGAGGCGGCTTACATTTGACGAGGCGGCTTACATTTGACGAGGCGGCTTACATTTGACGAGGCGGCTTACATTTGACGAGGCGGCTTACATTTGACGAGGCGGCTTTTGAGAGAGGGGTGGTGGTGATTTGCCTGCCTGCCTGCCCCCTTGTAGGGGTTGTGTGGTGTCCTGGGAGGGGCTCATGGGGGGAATGGGAACCAGCCAGCAACCAGCCTCCATCCTTAGTATGGCTGGCTGATTGCTTGATAGTGTTTTTCTTCAGCAATGGCTTTCGAATTTCGTGTTTGTCAACGTTGGTGTAACTCTGTATGGATTGGTTTCCTGACATTCCGTTTCCACCAGCAAGCGATCTCATTACGTCCCGGCACATGTCTTAGCTCCTTCGGTTTACGCCCTGACATCTCTTATCTCATTGCTACATGCTGTTGCCTCCCTCTTGCCCTACCTGACTCCCCACTTACTTCCCCCTTCCTGCCTTGTGTGTGTGTGCGTGGAGCAGTGCTGGCTCTTGAGGCGGAGTCAGAGGCGGTGGGCCAGCTGACATCAGATGATCTCTCCTCTAAGGTGGGTTTACGCTTTTCTTTCAACATCCCCATCCCATCCAGCCTGTCTGCACATGCCTGACGATTACCGTCTGCTGCACATATTCCTCTTCCCATCCTCTCCCCCCCCGACACATCCCCATAATACCTCTATTTTGAGTCGATTCAAAAGTCATCTCATAATACCTCTATGCCACCTCCCTCTCCCTGCCTCCCTGCACCTCCCTCTCTGTGTGTGCGTGCGCTTGTGTGTGCAGTTCGCCCTGCTGGAGAAGGGGTCAGTGGACGATGACCTGGAGGCGCTCAAGATGGACATGCTGCTGCCAGACAAGGTCACCTCTCCGTTCCCTTCTCCCTGCCCATTCCCCCTGCTCCCTGCTCTTGCTCCCTGCTCTTGCTCTGCTCTCGCCTCCCCCTACTGCTTCGCTTCTCTCCCCCCTACTGCTTCGCTTCTCTCCCCCCTCTGCTCTGTCCTACCTCATTATGTTTCTCTCCCCCCTCTGCTCCCTCGCCCCCCGCTGCTCCACCTCCTTCCGCCCTCTGCTCCCCCCCCTCTATTGGGCAATTACCTCTGCTTACCCTCCACTTGTGTTTCCCGGGGCGCATCCCCCCGTCTCAAAATTTCGAGTATTTTACGCTTGGTTGGGAGAGGCAGAATGTGATTGATGGACGAGGTAAAGAAACTGGACGATAACGAAAATGTGGGGTGAGGTTTTTTTTCGTTTCGACAAAATAACCAAACCGAGAACCTGGTCCGGTAAGGTTTGCTCGGGACAAGCTTCCCAACCAATTTCGTGCAGCCTTGCAGATCCGACAGCCGAGAAATCATTTTTTTTCACCCTCACTTTGTACTCTGGTAACGACTGTCGATTCGATTTACAAAACTCTTAACCCGTCAGATAAGTTTTCCAGTGTGATCCGACGGCCCTGAGTCGGTGGTTTTCCCAATGTTCGTGCACTCTCATATTTCTGCACTCAGTTTTACGCTTGCTTCCCCCCACTGCCATCCATTGCTCTGGAAGTCGTTTTTCCCAGCCGTTCCCTCTGGTGTCGCCCATGTAACTGGGTACCAAACGTTTTACGGTTGTAATTGTGAGATTCGGGCTTTATATGACCACCCTTCCCTGCGTGCCTGTTTCCACCTCTATGTTTCCTCTGCGTGCCACAGAGCTCGTCTGGGGAGCTGCCAGCGGGGCGGTCAGTAGCGAAACCGTCACTCAAGGATCTCGAGGTGGAGGCTGAGCTGAACGAGCTCAGGAGGCGGGCTAGGGAGCTCTAAGCTGACTCACTGGCTGGGGGTTGAATCCCCAGGAGGGGCCCAGGGGTGTGTGGATTTATTCCCAAATGGAAGCTAGCAGTACAGTGAATGTTGGTAGCTCTGCGCTCACTGGTGTGCACCAAATGTTGTGATGGCCTTGTTGGTTTATGTGATAGATTTTGTTATTTAGACCCTAAGAGCTGTCGTGGAGAACCTACATTATGTCAACTTATACATATTATCTATGTAGAAGTTATAGGCTAGACTGAGGTATGCTTCTAGTGAGTACAACCAACTAGTATTTGTTCTAGGTTTCCACCTCTAGTAATCATTCGTTTCTACGTTAACATGGTATCACGCTTAGGTTAGGATCCCCCCGCCTCCGCTTCCGCCCGTCGCGCCTCCTAGGCCCCGTCGCGCCCCCTAGGCCCCGTCGCGCCCCCCCTGGGCCCCGTCGCGCTCGTTAGGCCCCGTCGCGCCCCCCCTGGGCCCCGTCGTGCCCGCTGGGCCCCGTCGCGCCTCCTAGGCCCCGTCGCGATCCCCCTGGGCCCCGTCGCGCCCGCTGGGCCCCGTCGCGACCCCTAGGCCCTAACGCGCCCCCGCTGGGCCCCGTTGCGCCTCCTAGGCCCCGTCGCGCCCCCCATGGGCCCCGTCGAGCCCGCTGAGCCCCGTCGTGCCTCCTAGGCATCGTCGCGCCTCCTAAGCCCCGTCGCGTCCCCCCCCTCTGGGCCCCGTCGCGCCCGTTCGGCCCCGTCGCGCCCCTCCTAGGCCCTGTCGTGCCCGCTGGGCCACGTCGCGCCTCCTAGGCCCCGTCGCGCCCCCTCTGGGCACCGTCGCGCCCGCTGGGCCCTGTCGCGCCTCCTAGGCCCCGTCGCGCCCGCTGGGCCCCTTCGCGCTTCCTAGGCCCCGTCGCGCCTGCTAGGCCCCGTCGCGCCCCCCCTGGGCCCCGTCGCGCCCGTTAGGCCCCGTCGCGGCCCCCCTGGGCCCCGTCGTGCCCGCTGGTCCCCGTCGCGCCTCCTCGGCCCCGTCGCGCCCCCCCTGGGCCCCGTCGTGCCCGCTGGGCCCCGTCGCGCCCCTTAGGCCTCGTCGCGCCCGCTGGCCCCTGTCGCGCCTGCTGTTAGCGCTCGCCTGCCTGGCCTCCTAGTGCCGCTCGGCCTCCTCCTAGTGCCGCCCGGCCTCCTCCTAGTGCCGCCCGGCCCCTTCCTAGCGCCGCCCGGCCTCTCCTCAGCGCTGCCCGGCCCCTCCTCGTGCCCGACCGGCCCCAGCAGCACCAGCCTGGCCCCTCCCAGCACCAGCCCGGCCCCAGAGCACCTGCCCGCCTCCCCTGCTCGGCCTGCCGTGTCCTCTCGGGCCCTGTGTCTTCTGCTCGCCTGCGCTGGGACGCCTAGCTGCTGCCCTACTGGAGAGTGCTGCCGCCGTGTCCCCGCGCCGCTGTGCTCCTGTGCCGCTGAGGAGCTGTGCTGCTGTGCCGCTGTGTCGCTGAGGAGCTGTGCCGCTGACCCTGCACGATGGCTGACTTTGTGCTCCGCCTGGACGCTGAGGGCCACGCGGTTGACTTCGCCGCCTGGCTCTCCGATCTCCGCCGCCAGCTTACAGGTCAGCGCCAGGATGGCCACTCTCTGGTTGTCCATGCTGATGGCTTGCTCCCCCGTCCCCCTGCACCTACTCCCCTCCCTGCTGACCCCTCCTCTGATGACCGTGAGGCTTTCTCTACTGCTGCGCTGGCCTGTGCGGTCTGGGACTCACGCGATGCAGTAGCTCAGGTTGCTATTAGTCACGCCCTCCCTGTGTCTGAGCGCTCGCGTTTTGCTACTGTTGAAACGGCCAAAGCTTATTTAGACGCCGTTATTGCTCGCTATTCCACCCCTGCCTCCGCTTCTGCTGGCCGCTTGCTCTTTCCGATGCTGTTCCCAGACCTGGCTGCCTTCCCTACTGTCGCAGACTTTGCCACTCATTTGCGTGCTCTAGAGACTCGCTATCGCACTGCCAGCACTGCTGCCCAGCTCACTGCGCTCCCCCCTCCTTTCTGCATGACGCTCTATTTTATCGCTATGCGCCTGCCAGACCGCCTCGCTAGTGCTCGCGACCACTTTCTTAGCCAGCACCCGGGTGACCTCACCCTGACCGCCTTTGTCGACACCCTCACTGAGATCGAGACTCGCCAGCGCACTATCGCTCAGTCGAGCGGTGCGCCGGCAGTCTCTATCTTTCACGGCTGTGCCCCATCCCAGTGCACGTTCACTGACGTTTCGGCTGCGGTCGCCACGGCGACCCCTCTTACCGAGACGGCTGCTGCTGTCCACCCGCAGCAGCGCTCGCGTCGCGGTGGCCGTGGCCGCCAGGGAGGTAGGGGTGGTGACGCAGGTGGTAGTGGTCGTGGTGGTGGTGACGGTAGTCCGCCTGAGGGGACTACCACCGGTGGGCAGGAGCAGCAGCCCCAGCAGCAGCAGGACCAGCCGCAGCCGCAGCCGCCGTCCCAGCAGCACCCGCCGCAGCCGTGGGCTCGTCTCCCGCCTGGTTGGCCCGGCACCTCCGGAGGCGGTGGCCGTGGTGGCGGCCCGCGCAGCTTGGCGTCTACCAGCGGCTCCAGTGCTGTGACCTGCCAGTACCAGCTTCAGACCGGGCCTCTCCGCGGCACTCTGTGCCGCCGCCCGCACCCGACCGCCCGCTGTTTCCGCCGCCTCGACGATCTTTTTCGTCGTCGCTTTGGCCCGGCCCCGGACCTCCCTGACTGGCACAGCCTACTCCGCCAGGGCGTGCCGATCTTTGAGTTAGACATGGATCAGATAGGTGCTGCTTTGCATGCTTTGTATGCTGACGCTTCTAGTGTTGCTGGATCTTACTACCCTGTGTACTCTAGTTTAGGTGTTTCACCCTTGTGTAGCTTAGCTTCCCCTGCTGCGACAGGCGTAGGACTGCCTAGGTTGCCTAGTCTAGTCGCTGCACCCGCTCCGTCCCCGGCCTCCGCCACTGCGTCGCTGTCCTTCACTCTCGACTCTGGTGCTTCTGCCTGCTTCTTCCGCGACCGTTCCACGCTCACGCCGCTTGCTGCACCTGCTGTTGTCTCTCTCGCTGACCCCTCTGCGGGTCCGGTCGTCGCGCGCAGTTCTACGTCCCTTCCTTGTCCGGCAGTTCCCTCGGGCTCCCTTACTGGCCTCCACGTTCCCTCGTTCTCCAGGAACCTGGTTGGTGTCGGCTGTCTCCAGGACCTCGGCGTCACCACCACGTTCCCCGGGCACGAGCGGTTCGCTGTCTGCTCTGAGGCTGTCTCAGGTTCCCCCCTTGCGACGTTCCCCCGGGACCCGGTGTCCGGTCTGTTTACCCTACACACCGCTTCCCCCCCGGTTGGTGCGTCCTCCCAGGTCGCTGCAGCTTGCTCGTGTCGGTCCCTCACTCACCCCTCCCTTCTCTGGCACCACCGCTTAGGTCACCCTGCTCTCCCGCGTCTGCGTCACATGTCCCAGCACGGTCTTGTCTTAGGTCTCCCCACGTCGCTCCCTGCCCTTCCTCCCTCGACTGCGCCACCGTGCACGCCTTGCGTCGAGGGTCGGCTCCGCCGTGCTCCTCACTCCTCCTCGCTGCGTCCTGCTACTGCCCCCCTTCAGACCCTGCACTTGGACGTTTGGGGCCCTGCCCCCGTCCCCGGACCGCGCGGTGAGCGCTACTTCCTTGTGCTCGTCGACGACTACACGCGCTACAACACGGTGTTTCCCCTGGAGCGGAAGGCCGACGTGCCCGACGTTCTTCTCCCGTGGGTTGTGGCTGCGCGTCTCGACCGCGGTCTCCCCGTGTTGTGTCTCCACTCCGACCGTGGCGGCGAGTTCGCCTCTGGTCGGCTTGGACAGTTCTGTCGTGCGGAGGGCATCACCCAGTCGTACACGTTGCCGGACTCGCCACAGCAGAATGGGGTTGCTGAGCGCCGCATCGGCTTGGTCATGGAGGTCGCCCGTACCTCCATGATCCATGCCGATGCCCCCCATTTTCTGTGGCCGTTCGCTGTTCGCTACGCGGCTCACCAGCTTAACCTGTGGCCACGCTCCCAGCGGCCGCAGGTTTCGCCGACCCTCCTTTGGACCGGGTCCCCCGGTGACGCGTCTGCGTTCCACGTCTGGGGCTGCCTTGCTCACGTTCGTGCCTCTGGCACGGACAAGCTCACTGCCCGCACTGTCCCCTGTGTCTTCCTCGGTTTCCCCCTGGACTCGTCTGACTGGCTTTTCTACCACCCGCCGTCTCACCGCTTCCTCCACTCTCGTGACGTCACCTTTGACGAGTCCGTCTCCTTCTACCGCCGCTTCCCTCACCGAGGTCTCCCAGTTGCCCCCCCCTTTTCCTTGCTCCCTCTCCCCCGGTAGCCCCTGCCCCTCTCCCGCCTCGTCCTGCCCCGTCTGGTGTCTCCCACGTCACTCCCCTCCCGTCGGTTGTCCCCGTTGAGGAGTCTGCTGACTCTGGTGGTACCCCCGGTCCGTCCTTGCAGCGTCCCCCTTCCCCGGTGCCTCCGCCCCCACTGTCGCAGTCGCCGACCCCGCTGCCGCCGCCGTCGCCGTCGCCGCCGCAGCCGTCGCCGCTGTCGTCGCCGCCGCCGCCGCTGTCGCTGCCGCAGCCGTCGCCGCTGTCGCCGCCGCCGCAGCCGTTGCCGCCACTGCCGCCGCTGCTCTCGGCCCCTGGGGGTGCTGGTGTGGAGGAGGGTGTTCGTCCTGCGGCTTCTGGGGGTGCCGCTGGTGTTGGAGGGGGTTCTCGCTCTGGGGGTGTTGGTTCTGGGGGTGCTGCTGTTGAGTGTTCTGCCGACGGTCGTTCTGCCTCTGCTGGTCCGAGAGTTCCGGCCCAGCCGTCGTCGCCGCCGCAGCAGCCGTCGCCGCCGGTTTCCGCTCTCCACCTGCTCGGCCTTCCCTCCCCGGACCGCGCGCCGGTGTCTCCCCCACCGCCTCCTGACCTTCCTGTCTACGGTCCTGTGTTCCCGCCGCCAGACTCGTCTCCGGCCCGTCTTCCTCCTCGTTCCCCTCCTGTGTCTCCTCCGCTGTCCCCTGACCCTACCCCTCCGTCTCACGTTTGGGCTCGCCGTCCCTCCCGTGCTCGTCCCGTCTCTCCTGTCCTGCCCACCCACCCTATGTTGCTCCGTTCCCACTCGTCTCGTCCTCCCCTCCTCCCGTCCCCTCCTCCCTCGTCCCTTGCTGTTGCACCTCCTCCGTTCTCTGACTACCTCCGTTCTGCTCGTCCCCTTGTCCCTCGGGTCCTTGCCTCTCTTGTTACCGACCCTACTGTTCCTGTCTCGCGCCTT